GTGTCAGCTGCAATATACGCATACAACGCGGTCGCCTCCTCATCGCGTTTGTCCAGCTCAGTGTCGGCGACAATGTACCCATAGAGCGCCGTGGCTTCGGTACTCGCTCTGGCACGGAGAGCGTGGAGGTCATCTGCCCGGACGCGAAGCCTGAATGCTGCTGCTAATGTATCTTAGTTCCAGACTGACTGAATCATGTTCATGCCGGAATTCTAGGGTGGGAAGGATGTGCATACGCTTGGCTGTCGGTGCAGAGGCTGCCATAGGGCTCAGAAGGAGGCCGTAGACGGCGGAAAGAAGCATTGGGTACTTCATTGTGGGCTGGATGTTCTTGAAAAGAGTTGGCGAGGTTTGCTCTCGAGAAGAGATGGTCTGTTGAGCAGGAGGAAGGAATGGGAAGGCTAATTATATCTAGGTCTCGAGCACTGGCCTTCTCACTCTGGAATCCGAGCAACTTCCGGTCTGGTGATTTTAGTATGCGATATGTACACAGCAAAGGCTAGATGCCAGGTCTGTGTGATTGCTGTACACCACCGTGATTGCAATTGCAGCCGACGTCTGCACCTCTTTCAACCTGGAAAGAGATGACGACCCATCAACCAAGTCTTGTTCATACGTGCAGGTGCGGGGATCGCATAGCCAGAGTGTTTGTGTCATATAGGGGTGTCAATTCATCTTTCATAGGCCCAGACGTGATCGGGTGGAATGGGACTTTCGCACAGCCAAGTCTAGAAGTTATCTCAACGGAATTGCTGCATATTACTGTGACGTGAGTGTAGCAGCTATCTGCACCTCTTTCAATCTGGAAAGACATGATGGTCCAACAATAGAGTCCTGCATATACGCGCATGGCAAATATGCTAGACATAGATTGCATAGCCAGAATATGTCGTACAGGGATGTCAATCCATATTTCAATGCCCTAGAAGTGATCAGGTGAAACGGGACTTTGCATAGCCTACCAAGGGTAAAGAGACCAACCTAAAGAGGGCAATATTACGGCAGCAAGAGTTTCTGACAATATGGGTGAAAACACAGAAACAAAAACAAGACAAAAACATACAACAGAAAGGATTCGCTGGTGGTCACCCACCCAACTACTAACCTCCCGGCTGTCAACTTGGTGTCATAATCCTACTATTGCAGGCTGTAAGAAAACGTTACTCGATATATCATAAAGGGATTTTTATTTATAGCTTCCGATTGCTAGGTACTTTGAACCGAGATTCGCGCCAACTGCATCAGCATCGTGGGGGAATCCTGAGATAATTTCGAATAAGGCTTCAGAGTATGAAACGGGTCGACTGGCCGCCTTTCTTCATGAAATTTTGTCTCAATATTTGTGCCCTAGGTTGACCGGTTCACCTATCAACTACGATTATCACCAATATTAGGGCCCAATTACAATCACAAGCACATGTAAGATGATTGTTCTCGACTGTGACCTCACATGAGCAAAAGTCTGCGGAAATCCAACTAATAACTTTTGATAAAGGCTTGGCTTTACGAATAATGGCAAAGGAAGTAGGCATACATAATTGACACCTTCCCTATCCCACGCGTTGCACGACCTGTTCGAGCGGCTAATACACAAGCTCATAAGGCATATAAGCACTGCCGGAATACCAAGACAAATGTAGCGGAGACACACCTACTTAAAAGCACTGCCGGAATACCAAGACAAATGTAGCGGAGACACACCTACTTACAAGCACTGCAAAAGGTCTAGTCTTGATCATTATTCTAAAAAGCCTAAAGAATAAAGAATAGAAAAGTAATATTCAGTCTATCTAAAAAGCAGCTCTATCTTCGCTAAAAAGCATATAAGGTATTTCCACAAGGCTAATCAGCAACTACGGGATTATCGTTGTATATTGTAAGATATCCTGCCTTGCCTAGACATACATTCGGCCCTTCGTATTAAGAAATACTTTAACAGAATTTAATTCACTAGTTGTACACTCAGCTGGTACCGGGCTATCATAAATAATAGAAATTATCAATTAACAATAATCTTTCCGACATCCGGTCAAAGACGCCCTCGCGGGAATCAGGTATCGGGGGCCAGGAATCTGTTATCTTTGTTTCAAAGAAGCACTCAATGAGATAATAGAATTTACAGCAGAGTATTTTAATCGCACCATTAAATCCCGAGCAACAGGTTTTGTAAGGGGACATTCTAAGATAGCGTGGCTCTACAGGCTAAAAGAAAAGCTTAAATACCGCTCTTCCAATGCTTCAGACGTGCATTCTACTCCATATATTCCGCGCGAATCTATCACATCGATGAGCTATTCAGTGGATGATATAGAATTCCTAATCAAATCAGGTATTGATTTTTGAAAATTACCGAGGCACCACGGTCACTGACCATCTCATCGATCAATACTTCGAAATTATCCATCCATCTTTTCCAATTGTGAGCCAAACGCTCTTTGAACAACAATATTGCTCATCCTATGAATCAGGTAATGCAAGTCCGGGAAAGAGATGGTTAGTTATCTTAAATTTGATATTTTCTATAGCTGCGAGACACGTCCACTTAGCCATTGCAAACAGCGATGGGGCATACTGTCGTAGTTCTCCCGAACATAGAAGCTCAGCATAGAAGAAATTGTTTCTACAAACCATCCAAATCTTCAGCAAGTTCGGGTCAAACGCCTAGCATCCCTCCACTTTTTCCATTAATGGGTATATTTATAATCAAGACCTTGCCACATTCCTGTACTAATTCGGCTACTAGATCTAAAAAACTTGTAGGCTTGCTATTCGGTCTAACATTATAAAGGAGTTCATCTCTACTACAAAGCTCCCGATATCTCTGACGTATCCAGAAATATAAGATATTCAGTCTAGTAGACATTAGGCATATCAAGTATCACACTCTGTTTAAGAAATAGCTGTGGCCCTAGTACAGATAATGATTTTGTCACCAATCACTTTCCTTTACCCTTCAATAAGTAAATTGTCTGGGAGCTGAGTAGTACCCCACTAATTAAGAATATAGAAACGTTGGCGAAGCACAGGCTCACGCTCTTCCACCAAACATAAGAAGAAAAACAGTAAAAGAAATCGAACAAACATATCAGAGCCTACGGTCCATATTTCGGAAAAGTGAGACGAGTAACCACGAAGCATATATAAGAGAACGGGTCTAAGTCCTAGCAAACCATTATACTTTCTCTGCAGTGTTGAATTGATTGTGCTAAAGCGCGAAACCATCGGTTTACTCTATGCCCCGGCAGCTGCCCGAAAGAGTTGACTGGAGCGTGAAGCTGCGATCCATGCTCTTGATGCGAGGCTCGATGAGTAACGGATAAAGGAACAATACTGGGCGGGAGGAGGGGGGGAGCACCAAAAGATCTTTCTTCATACCGCTATCTTAGCATTGAATATCTGTAACTCCAATGCTTGACTCTGTAGTGTCCCTGAGATATAGTTGTCATTCTAAATCAGAATTGGATGGTGCTACCCACGAGCATGATCAAGGGTGACTATACGAGGTGACCATATACGTGAATATCACAATTCCCGAAACAACATCCCATGACACAATCTCAATGCAATACTTGTTCCGTAAAGGATCTCTCTAAGACCTCAATGATGCCAGTGCAGATGTCTCCCGAAGTGCTGTCGGGACTTTGGTGGGTCTGACGTGGCGGGAGCTGCTGGCGTCACGATTTGGGCTTCAAACGTGCTATTGAATGGCGTGAAGACGTGGTAGTCCTTCCCAATCGGCTCAGCGGCATGAAGCATGTGACTCATCTTTTTAAGCCAGGTCGGACTATCAAGATCGCTGGACCTGACGTGGATGGAACGCTTTTGCCAGTCCTTGGATACTCGAATCTCTGTGTGTGAGAAGCAGGTTGCTCGTTAGCGTGAGTACAAATATCTCGGAAGCGGCTTGCAGTACCTTTGACCTGCCAGAGACTGGGATGTAAGTGGTCAGGCCCTGTGTAGTTGTCTTCTTTGGTATCCTCGTTGTCCCGTTTCCAGCGCCCGGTGACGTAGGGATTCTCATAGACAATCTGGCACTTCTCCAATTTGAATTGATATATTTTCAGCAATGGCTGAAGATCGGGCTGCGTACTCGCATCTATGTGACAGAGGGCATTGGAGGTGATTGACCATAGCTGACTGTAAAAGAGATTGACTCCGCCGACGACACGGAGGAGGGGAAGCGTTTCACCAGAGTCATAGTATCCGGCATATGTACCCAGCCAATTGGTGGGATTGCTTGCGTCCTGGGAATCAAACAGATTCATGGTGAAATAGCGGGTGTACCCCGTAAAGCCGGATTTGGTGGACCAGGTCTGCTTAGCTTGCTTGTCATAAATGTGAGACACCATTCCATTGAGTATGCTCTGGTAATTTTGTTGCTCAACGGGTGCACAAGCCGTGCTCTAGCGGAAATGTTAGAGATACCAGTTGTATGGAGAATAAGACGTTGTTCATGACTTACCGCTCCTGACCCACCTTCGGCGACCCTGAAGAGTTCACCATCGTCAGTAGTTGCATAGATCATTATAATTTCAAAGACTCACATATTGACTATTATTGGGATGTGAGGTTAGTGTATGCCCATGAAAATGCCCATGAAAAGAAAGGATATCACGTACAAGGGAACTCGTCGCAAGATACTGACTCGCTAAAGCCAGGCTCATCTTCGTAATCGCCCTTCTTCGCATACGAATCCTGTGCCTCAACCGACCACAGGGATCGCTTCAACTGCGCGCAAGACTTAGTGGTGTAAGTGTTGGTCGATTTAGTGCCACAAGCATATAGGCGATTTGTGTCTTCGGCATCTGGTTTATAGGTAAGAAGCATGAAGTTAGACCCCATTATTTGCGGACTCCATTGGCTCTGGTGGCTGAAGAGGTAGTTCTGGACATTGGCGCAGATTCCTGTCCAGTTAAAAAGTCAGTGAGTAAGGAGGCTAGAGATATAGAAATAAATTGGTAAAGCTCGCTCATACCAGTCGCCAGATAAGCTTGTTGGCCAGGCAGTGTATTTGTAGTCTGGTCCTGGTTGGGAATGTAGGAATTGCCGAACCATGCGCAATTGTAGAAAAATGCAGGGAAGCGTGCACACTGCGCGGTGTTCGTAGTTGCCTGGCGTTTTCGCGAGGAAGAAGCTGCTCCATCATCTAAAAGCGTACAAGAATCCCCGTCGCAGACCATGGGACAAGATAGGTTGCCTGAAGCAGTGGGCGAGTTATCGATCCTCTGGCAGGACATTAAACCTCCAAAGCAGGCGGCACCCGTTGTATTGGCTACCAAGCTAGTTGGATCGCTGCGTTTGCTCAAGTCGACATCACTGGAGTAAGTGGTACAAGTCTTCGCGACCAATTCGAGGGGATCTGCGGGCGAAGCCACTTCGTACTCACTTCCCCAATAAGCGACGTCATCCAGAAAGCTGAAAATCGTGTTATGAATGTTAGGAATGAACTCTCCTAGTGAACCAGGTTTGTAACTCACGACATATCTGCCCTGATGAAAAGAGAATAGACGTAATCAGCCCAGTAACAAAAGCCAGCCGAGCTGGTTCCACCGGAATAAGAAGCCTCTGCACTAATTCCCAGGTTAATAGTGTTGTTCAGCCCAGCAGTCACATAGCCAGACATCAGATCGCCTCCAAGCACGGAAATGCCGAAGCGAACCTCAGGGGTCAGGGATACTGTCAGATTGTCAGGAAAGGTAAGACTCGGGGAGGGAAAAGTTGACGGTGGACTTACACGCCATATTACCCTCAGCAGTTAACGTGGCGTCAAAATTTGGATCAAAGCTGTATGTTTGGCTTTGCTCGTCACTGAGATCGGCCGGAGCTACACTGTCTGCCTTTCCTGCGGCGTCTTGTGGGAAATAGACCTCCGTCTTTTGGAACTCTAGCGCGATGCCAGCATTCAACTCACCCGAGATGCTCAAGGACGCATCCATTTGACCATACAAAGCCAATTCCGGCCCTATACTGATTAGACCTTTGATCGACATGCCTGGAAAGCCCAACGAAAACAGCTCTACCGACCCAGTGGACGATTGCATGATGGCATTAGCTCGGATTGTTAGGAGGATCTGATAACGATAGGTCAGTTGAGTTTTGAAGGAGGGTTTTTGAAAGCATACAGCGGCCGTTGGCTCGATCGAGAAGTAGCCATAGGCGGAAATCACTTCGGGTGTTGGCAGGATGGAGCCTTCAAAGTAGTAACCATACTGGTTGAATAGGCCCAGGTGGATATATGCATCAATGTCGAATGTGGCTTCTAGGTTCATGGCTGGACAGTATTCGTGCGCATGGTAGAGCTTGATTGTTTCCTCATACAACAGAGGCAGGGAACCCCGCTCATCTTTCACAATAGTTGTCATCTTCTTGAGCCAGCTGTCGAAGGCACCAAACCACCGCTTCTTAGACGATGGGGTGTCTGTAATCTGCTTCCTGCATTTATGTCAGCACAGTTGTCCTCCTCTTCTTGAGCCGAGGCTTGACGTACCAGTATTCCTGTAGGTTTGTGTAATCAATCCGAAAATTGACATCACCTTTCTGCTCCTCAGCAGCAGCGGCAAAGTCATAGTCAACGGTCAACTCATAAATATCGCCGGTCGACCGTGGAATGATGCTTGTTCTGTTAATGCTCAGGGGAACAAGACTGATGATACGTGCATATGGACCGGCTCCAATGTCATCAGGCATCTTCACAATCGTATTAGACGCTCCACCTTCGAAGACCGAGGTACACGCCGTGCCGTTTACAAATAGATTAATACATTGAATGTGATAGACCTCTACCACGTTTTCAAATGTATCGTTGCGATGCTCAAAGATACTATGACGTGTATGTAGCTTCAGGTCTCTTTTGCGAAGTTCCTGCTGATCTGTCAAGAAGGTCCATTGATCTACCAGTGACTCATCGTAGGCCTTGGTATCTCCGTCGATCATCACTAGCGCGAATGGATCTTCGCTGGCGTCAGCTGTATCTGCATATTCGAAGGGAATGAAGAGTTAAAATAAAAGTAAGCCACATCGGATGAGCTGCGGTGAGAAGCCTACCTTCATCGTTTGAAGATGCTTGTACTGTGTAGTCGTAGCTTACATTCTCCTCGTCGGGGTATTTGAATAGATACTTCGGATCCACCAGCCAACTACTTGAGCCGCTGGGAGGATCGCAGCATAACTTGTTTTGGCCTGTATTGCACGCGGTGGATTTCCCACCCTGGAAAATCTCAGTCCTTTGAGTAATCAACACTTTACTGCTCGGACAGCTGTCCGAGCAGCCGTACCACGCGCAGCCCTCATAGGTATCCTCCGACGGACAGCAAAAGCTTACGTCGCTAGACTCACACTTGAAGCTGTCCTGCTGGAGATCTAGTGGAACTTAGCCGCAGTTCTGTGTTTCTCGGGGTTGGGGGCAAGAATAACTCACTGGGCCCTGGATAGGGAGAGCTTGATGTAAAGGTATAGTCCGTGGAGTTGCATGAGTTCCCACAAGAAGACCAGGAGCATTTCTCGAGAGCCGAGTTCGTATTGCAGCATAAGGACCTCACACTCGATGTCTCACAGCTTTCTGAGCCCGTTCGATCAATGTATGAATCAGCCACAAGCTCATACTTTCCCTTGCCACAGGTCATACTGCCTCCATAGCACATCCCTTCGAGCTCCCCCTCCCAGCTGCAACCTTCGGGCATTGCATTGGTCGGGCAACAAATTAGACGATACTGCGAATCGGAATCACCTTCCTCGCCCGATTTGCAGAATTTCGTGTCTGGATCCTCAATCATGCCGTATGAGCCCTGATGAACATAGTCCAATACACTATAGCCGGGTTTGCATTGCCCGGTGTTCCAGTCAACACAATCACTAATGTAACAATCGGTACCCGTATACGCCGAGTAGTCCTGCGAAAGTGCCTCTGCACTTTGAGTATTCATAGACCCTCCTGTAAGCAAGTTGTTACTTGCCATAGCCTTGCCAAGTAATCCACTTAATGCCTGCCAATCATAGGTATCCTGATCCACCGACCAGATCATCAGGCCGCCTAGGCAGACACCGTTGGCATAGTCAACCTTTTGCTGGAACGTCATATTGGTATCGAATGAGACCCACTGATCCTCCCAAACCATGTAGTTTACGGCATCAGTCTCGTCCCAAATGGTGACTGCATCCTGCTCCTCCATATATTCCATGATTTCTGCACAGTAGCCATCAGGATCATCTTATAGGCAATGCAGAAAAAAGGACGACTTACCGCTAAAAGACAGGACACCTGCTGTGACTGTACAGGGCCCAGCGGCTCCTGCACTAGCGAAAGGACAGCCAGGTTCGTAGCAGGCGATGTCGGACATGGTATAGGACCTGCCATAGAACCCAATCCCTAGAACTATGTCCGATGGCTGCACACCGGCTCTCCACATTAAGTCAAGTGCGGATTTGATCTCAGTTAGATTAGTATGAGCCAGCATCACGCTCCCGATCCATCTACATTAACCCGTCGCAAGTCAGTGCACGTATTCAAAGAAAGTAGTGACTGAAGAATTAGAGTTTTAGTGGTCGGAAAAAGGCTGTAGCTCACACATCATCTCTATCCCATGATCCATGGAGGTCGTAGGTCATGATGTTGGTCCAGTCGGCTCCAGCGTCCAACATCCCCACAACATCAAAATTTTGCAGATACCAATAGCTGGACGGCGTAGTAAAAGATATTCCATATTGAGACCCGGAATCATCCAGAACAATACGCAACTCAGCAACTAAACGGACGTAGTTCTCCTTATCTGCTGACTTGCCCCCGCGGTCGCTTGCTCCAGGATACTCCCAGTCTAGATCCACGCCGTCGAAACCGTACGTTTGCAGCAATCTTAAGACCTCTAATACAAATGAGACCCGACCTTGTTCAGTGGATGCCATGTCAGACCAGTATGTAGCTGTATCACCATCGTTAAAAGACCACCCTCCGATAGACAGAAACAAGGATAGGCCTGGATTATTCGTCTTGAGATCAATAAATTCGAGAACTAGAGAGTCCTGATCAGTGACGCCAGTCATGAAGTCAAGTGTCCAGCTCTTTTTACTGCTGTCAAGCGGGGCAAAAGTTGCAAACGAGTAGTAGAGATGGGTTAGCCCTGAAGCGGCAATGTTACTAGGGCTCCAGGAATCGCAGACACGATCACTAGACCATCCTTCGTAATAGCCAATGACACGCTTGTACACGTCATTTGAAGAACATGAGGGAACTGTCGGTGATCCGCAGTCGCTTTGGCAGCCTGAACTGGTATCGCAAAAGTCAATGGAGGTTCCACAGAACCCCCATTCGGAGCAGCATACCTTGCAAGACCAATGTCAGCTATGCCCTACTCCTGTTCTCATTCAACTAGAGGCGGGCTTAAAGGTTGAATACAGAGGCATGGTACTTACATTCAGAGGGCAGGTGGTTCCGGGGATTGCAGCGTCCTTGCCGCATGCAGCTGTCGCGTTGCAGTTGCTCACACACGTGTCTCCGCAGAAATCGATTCCGTAGCCACAAACCTAGTCCTTTGTAGTCAGTCAGATAATAGTAGAACGGTTGGAAAATATTCTGTTGGGTGGGACCTGCCATATTGGAGGCATGGCCACCGGCATTGAACTTACACCCTGACTATCAGTCACACCACAACAAGCTCCATTGGCACAAGGGGTCTCTGAATCACAGTAGTAGGTTGTTTGAGCTTGTGAGTAAATGAATAGACTGAGAAAAATGAAAGATTGTAACCACGCCACGCCAATAGACCATCGCGAAGTTCCAAGTGAGTGATGCATTAGAAAGGTGTAAGGCGGGTTGTGAACCAGTTGAATGAGGGTTTGGTGCCGAATTTACCACACCAAGATGTTCATAAAGAAGGTTCTTAAGATATGTAGAAGAGAGTGATTACGGTTGCATATCAACAAAAGGAAAGAGCAAGAGAGAGAGGTCGAATCGAGTGAGCGACGTCGCAGGCGGATAAGAATCACAGCGCACCTACTCGGACGGTGCTAATTTATATTCAAGCCGCTCAATAATACAATGAATGGTAAGCAGATGTGGCTCACTGCTCCGTTCTCCTGAGCTAGCCTCTTCTTATCTCGCGTAAGTGGTAGAATCCACCTGAATAAAACTTTGTGGACTCAACTTCTGGCCTTGCGTTTGGCTGGGTTGTGGTGGCATCTAACCATCGCCATGATTGCCTCAATCAAGAAGCTTTACAGCCACCTCAATCAATCAGACACCATACACGTATATAACACCTTAAAAGAAAACAAAGCACCAAAGGCAATAGCCGTGCTTTTCCTAGTTGTGTTGTGATGAGAAGTCTAGTCGATCGCCATCATGTTGGCTTTCCACTGTATTGCTATGATTTCGTTTTGACGCACTAATTATGATTGTGGGTTCAATTTCACGAACCGCTAGTTCCTTACAGAGACCCATCCTGTCATTCAGAGGGGTCCTTCAAGGACACTGTATGACTCGTATAAAGCCGGCCACCTAATTTTCTGGGTCGGATAAGAATCCAAGCGATCTGGTGGGGCAAAAGGAGAAGCTCTTAATCCTTGGCAAGGCTTCTACCGGATTGGCATACAGATATAGAGCAATCTACACCACTACTGCAATGGCACGCCGCTCCAATCTGAAAGAACATCTTTTACATCAAATAACTTCCAATTCCTAAATGACCCTAATCGCTGGAATAAAGCATCACAATGGCCCCAAGAAATGAGACTTACACTCGGATGAACCGGAACGTCCCAGGTAAAAGCATAGGCAAATGTGGAGAAGCCAAAACCGGGCCCACTTGACTATTGCATTTCAACCACGGACCAGCCTCAGAGCCTCTAGGTATACAGTAGACCTTTTCCATTGATTGCTCTTGAAAACTAATTTTTTTACAAGTGACTGTTGCTGTTCGTCTCAGGATGATAACTTTACGACCCTCCCGCCGCTAGGCTCGCAGGATTAATTTGTTGAAATTCATCAATCCCCTGAGCCAGGAAGTCATTTTACGCCTTAACAAAAACCTATTTGCACTTAATCAATGTTTTCTATCACAGGGGCCGCAGTGCCCCCGTTGCTTACCCTCTTCTTGTCAGTTTTTACGATCTCCGAGGCTGTGTCTGTAGCTACGGCTGTGATACCGACATCAAGTGCGTCTACCACTGGAGCAGAAACAACTGCGGTCAATTTACGCTGTGACCTCAGTAACTCTGGCACCAAGACCTACATCACCAAAGCTAATGATACCTGTATCACTGTCTCAATCGCGGCCAATGTGTCAACTTCGATGCTGGCAGATATAAATGCACTGGGAACTGGTTGTCACTATTTGAGATCAAATCAGGAGCTCTGTCTTCCAGGCGTTTGCGATATCTACCTAGTCCAGTCAAACGACACGTGTGACACTATCCTGTCCAGTCTTTCCAGGCAGGTCTCGCTACCTGTGTTCCAGGCATGGAATCCAAGTATCAATTCACAGTGTTCAAATTTGGCTTCGCTATCAGGCGAGTATATATGCCTGAGGTAAGTTAGAATGCAAGACGAATTCTATACTATCTGCAATTTTGATTGACTGATGCGTTGATTCACAGTCCCCCAGGAAGTGTGCTTGTGCCAACCAGCTTCCCCCTTAAGGCCGCCAGTTCTGCTGTGTAAGTCATCCAGGTCCTCACCTATATCTCTTTCCTGCTGATACATAGGCTACTTTGGCAGTGCTGTCCCCACAGATGCGGTCACGACATCTAACACTGACTGTGGCTACTGGTATACCATTCAAAATGGTGATACTTGTGATACTGTAACAACCACATTTGGCATTAGTTCTCAAGACTTCTACTTTCTAAACCCCCAACTAGGAGGCGATTGCTCAGATCTGTGGGAAGGGAACAGTTATGTGAGCAGCCCCATTTCCCTTCTTTACAAGTCAAGAACACCCTCACTGACACTTTGACCCTTCTCGAGCTAGTGTGTGGAGGCTATTGGCAATATTCAGGCATATACTGGATATCCTTCAACGACCCGCTCAGCATATACTACTCTGGCGTCAACCATTAATTTAAATGCTACCGCTACAAGCAAGGGAAACATGACGTGAGATGCATTGTGAGACTCTGTGGTTTCTCAAGCTAATATGGAAATTCTAGCTGGCTCCTTCCAACGACTGCCACTTACCCTACCACAACGGCGATCTACAATTCTACTGCAGTCAAGCTCACAAGCAACTACACTCTCTGCACCCAGGCCATGGCTTACTACAATGTCTCTCTCGAAGAGCGATTGACCTCAGAAATGCTCGACGATACAGCTTGGCTGGCAGAGTATGACAGGGTGTGTCTCCTTGATCTCTCACAGCCGTTACCCACACAGCCATTCAACACTAGCATTCCCCTCGGATCACCAATCGCGAGTCAGACCAGTCTATCAACTGCGTTGGTTAGAACCTCGATAGCCCCAACGGGGCAAACATCTTCAGAGATGACAATCACTACGTCGAAGACTACTACAGAAGCCAGAACATCATCTTCCACGCTTGTATCGACTTCGACGAGTTCATCATTATCCACCAAACCTAGCACTACCAGCGTTAGCATTTCCCCTGACGGCACCTGTGGTGAGTCCTACGGGTACACCTGTGCTGGCTCGCAATTCGGAGATTGTTGTAGCAAATGGGGTTATTGGTGCGTGAACACTCAGTGATGAAGGAAACAAAGCTGAGCAGGAAATTGACCTTTATGTTCCAGTGGTTCGACAAGTGATTACTGCGGAAGTATTTGTGATCCAACCTTTGGAAATTGCGGTATGTTCAACGTTATACAAGCCTCCGCCTGTGATATCCCTGCTAAATTCAATCCTCTGCTACCACAGAATCGAATATCTCTTCCAACGGCCTCTGCGGAGCAGCTAACGATGATTATACCTGTTTAGGATCGCAGTTTGGAAGCTGCTGCAGTATTTACGATTACTGGTATGTAAAATATAAAAGAAGAAGAACTAGAAGAACAGCTGTCTTTCTAATACTTCAAGGGGGCTTTTAATTTGACTACTGACTTTTCAACAGTGGCTCAAGCACGGACTATTGTACCGCAAGCACGTGTGATGGTTCATATGGGGAATGTGACTCATAAGCACATCAAATTTCTTCCAGATAGCATTTAAGAGAGTATGATGAACAAAAGTAAAATTCTATGCTATCAAGAGTATCCTATAGTAACCTCATATTATAAGTAATCCCAATTAAACAGATTTTTGCCGTATAACGAACTGTAGAACCACCGGGTTTGTTCTACTATACGAAATTCGGTGTATTACTTCTTAATGAAGATTGTTAAACTTATCTGTCTCTATATACAATATCTATTATATTAATTAGGTATAATTACCTATTTGGGGATATTTCTTTTGGAAATCTTTAGTAAAAAATCTAAGAATCTGGTAATATTTACTTAGTCAGCATTCTCTCAAAAACTAATAAGATCATGTGAAAGCTGTTTTATATACATTTGATAAAACAAATATCTCGATATAACAATCAAAGAAGCCGTCTCAATTAATTTATTACATTGTGAGGTTACTGTAATCACTGTTCGTAATCGAAATTTTCATAGATGGGTCTTCCAATCGATAGTTCTACGCTAAAAACCAACTAATTTGCCCCACCAGCCCCCAGCACACATCAGCGCTCGGCAGGAGGTTATTGGTGATCTGAACTGATGATCCCTTGCCTATAAATAGCGATATCTACCCGTCCATCTTCTGCACGTATCGTCTTTTAGCTCCTCCCCTAATAAGATGCAAGCTCTTCTTTCACCAGCGCATGTGTGGCCTGGTGGTATCCCATCTGCTGTCCACCTACACCCGGATAGCGAGCTGGATGCGGATGATTTGCTAGAAGAGATTAGAGGCTGGTGCCTGTTCTTAAAGGTAAATCTTATCCTATGTAGGCATAGAAATGCCCGAAACTGACATAATCTAATCCCACCCTACCTAACAGGAAACTTGGAATCCTTCTTTTGACCCAGAAGAGGATAGGACACAACGACGGACTCTGGTGGAGAGATGGGCGGTTGCGGATCAGAGCTTTCGTGATGTAGAGACCCCCGTATGGGCGCATAACCTGCAGAGTGAATGGGGAGCCTAACTTCAAATTTACTTTTCCTAGTCATATCATTCACGTGCACCGCTTTCAGAACTAACCGATTTCCATGGCTCATCGGATTCTAAGCGCTTTGTTTGTCTAGTGGACAAGCCCTACAAGCCTGAGAACTATTCCCGCATTACCAAGCTCCTGATCTTACTGTACATCCACCTTCAGAATACAGTCAGTCATCCGCTGAGCTACAACCCAGCAATCCCTGCTCCGCAGCTCCCAGCATGGATGATCGATCCCGTCGTGAATGATGACTATAGGCGACTTCTGGTTGCAGAGAACCTGCCTACGAGCTACTACCTCGAAACACCTCATTTCAGCGGGATGGCGATGACCCGCGCTGGTAACGTCGTCTTTCCTCGCCTCGACGCGTATGAATATGTTGTGATCGACAATCAGAGCTGCGAAGACGGGCGCCTCTGCTTGCTCAATTTCGCCCTCAATGGGCAAGTTGCCTACCAGACGCGTGTACTCCCATACCACTTGGGTCCCCTTACATCACTACGCTACGGATTGGGCCATCTATGGAGCGAGCTCATGGACGAGAGACCCGAGGCAAGGCGAGCTGCCAATAAGCCGTACGTGATTGGTGTATTGTTTTCTGTTCTGAGTGAACCACAGACTGACGATTATGAAACCTTAGAATTGATCTTCATCCGCCGCTCTTGGAGATTATGGCAAAGCTCAGCCAGCGGGGGGACCTGCAATCGTTTAATGACTACACCCCAGCGGAGTGGGCCGAGGAGTTTGAGCGATTCGCCCCGGGGTATTTGCAGTACGAGCAGCAGGGTCGGGTCGATGAATACAGCTGGGATCATCTGGTAGATGTATCAAAAGATCCATTTGTTACCTATAATCATCTTCGCAATGCCCGACGGCTTGCTGAATTGCAGAGACGAGGTCCTGTTTAATTGAGCTCTGCCTCTGCCTTCGGTTTACTTGTCTGATTACCAGACAAACGATGCAGGCGAGGCATATATCACTTTAATTGCCCCCAATTCAAGAAGCTCTTCAGTTGTTCACACGTTTAGTACAGGTTCTAATTATCATGATGGTCCGAATGTCTCTAGCCTTTGACCACAACTTGAAAGATCGATGTCAGACTATAATTTATTATTCGTAGAATTGTATCGAGTGCTGTATGGCTAATACTCACCCTTCCCTTTCCACAACTCCATCACCCGCCGAGATCATCATCAGCAATTATCTTCACCAGGAAACTGTCGTTGTATCGTTGACTTACCAGGGGTGTTGATATCGCAACCAAGAGAAATTGTCACTTTGGGGTCGAGGTATTTGATCCTTCCCTGCTCTGCGCTCCATCACTTACCATCTTGAAATATCTTACCCACCAGATTCAGAGGAAGCCTTCTGATGAAGATGAAGTTCGGAGTGTCTCCAACCTATGAGCTACTGGGAGGTCGAGATTCCGATACCCTCGATGACGACCGACAAGGTACGAAAAGCGAGAATGGAGCACTTCTTGCGAAAAAATATCTCGGGGCGAGAATCCCTATCAACGACACCGTTGGTTTCTTTGGCTAAATGCTACCGTCTTTGCAATGTCATTGTTTCTCTTTGCCATGACCGCAAGCATTGTCCGGAGCAGCAGCGTCCCAAACCAGCTATTGCGGAAAACCTCCCAATATTGTGAGGGTGACCCATACTTGGCCGTAATATTCAGTTCGCTAACGGCTGGCAGCCCCCATCTTCGATCGACTGGACATTCCCCTCATCGACAAAAAGATGAATGCGACATTGGTGGAGCCGGATCCCCTACCAATCTACCGCCAGCCACCCAGCCCCGAGGTGGACGAAGCCTGGAACCGACTGGCAAACATCAGGCCCATCGCCATCATTCGCGATGACGTGGTCAAGCTGGGTAGAGATCCCGAGCAAGCGGCGAAATGGCCTGAAAGGTTTGGCTTCGGATCCGAGGCATACATTGGACGGATCGACGTCTTCCATCAAATTCATTGCCTGGATTGGCTACGCCGGGAGGCGTACTTTGACCACTACTATGAGAAGAAATGGCCGCCGGGGACTCCGTCGTCGGACATGCACCGGACCCATATCTCCCATTGCACCTACCTGCTGCTCCAGAACCTCATGTGCACCGCGAATGTCGACATCTACACCCACTACTGGGCGGATGCGCAGCTGAACGCCTTCCCCGACTTCAGCGTCAACCACAAATGCCGGGATTTTGACGCCATCTTGCGTTGGCAGGAGGAGAACTCGGTCGATGTGGCCGAGTTTGCTGCCATCCGGAAGCCACCTGATGCAGCGGCCAGGGTGATGTCGCATCGATTCAAGGAGCTGTTTGGTTGGTATAATTCCAACCCCGATGATGGCTCTGATAGTGGGATAATTGGATAATGATAACCACCATGTAAGCGGTTGTGGAGGCCAATATCAAGGTCGATGATCGGCTCAGCACTAGTACTTGGAGTAAGTCTGAGAGCGGGGTTGGGTAGAGACTAAGGGTCCGGGGTATGTCTGCTTTCTTATCAAGCATTTAGGCTACTGCATGGTGTGCTTGATTGCGTTTGATTACGCTCGGCCACCGATCCCTGCTAGCGCCATTAACGGCTGAGAGAACAAAGGTACGATGTATGCTTTCGAAACAGGAACCACGCGATGTAACCTAGAAGATTAATGGCTCAAGCCACCTTACATGGAAGCCTAGAACTCGACAAGGCAGCTTTGGGGGCTTCCACCGTATACGGATTCATTATTGTAAAGGGAACTTCTCCGTTGCTCCTGCCCCAACCAGCTGAACGTGGGATGCGGACACGAAACATGTCCTACTCAACACGCTTCCTCTATAGCATCTCAGCAGCATTGATATTCCTTCTTTTCGTCACTATCGGTGTCGTATTCAATTCAGTGGGCAACTGGAGCAGCCTCTCACAACCCTTCCAGTTCCATGTTTGTGCCAGCGAGCCTCCTCCCCCACCTCCAGTCATTCGCAAATTCCAGCCATTGACCTCGAAAACCTCATGGGAATCACTTCTTCTCCCCCAAAATGGCGGCATCCTCAAGGTCCGAACAAGCAATAACACCGTAACCGACTACGGGATCTCCATGTTCCACCAGCTCCACTGTCTGACGGTTCTTCGTGGGCTGATATTCCCTGAGACGACCCATCATCACGGAAGGCCCACAACATCACCTTCACACTCGGGCGATGCTCATGAAGACGCTGTGCATTGGGAGCATTGCTTCGATTACATTGCACAGGTGAGTTGCTTGTGATGAACTTGGTGACGCCCCCATCATCCTGACAGTGGGAAGGCTATAATCTGTGCGGCAGACGACACTATCGAGCCGCCTCGCTCGGCTGTCGATGAAGATGGAAAACGCGTCTTGATTATCGATGGGTTGGGACATCCGCATCAGTGCAGAGACTCGGAGTTGTTATGGAGGGCTGTCCAAGATAGTGAAGTTCATCCTGTTGAGCTTGCTCGAGTAAAGGGCACAGTTAGCTACAGTGAGATTCTGCTCGATAATTGATTATCAGACATGTCGGGATATCTGTATGATATATAAGTCTGCCTAGTAGAAGGTGAATGGCTAGGGTTTCAGGCCGCGTCCAGGCGTCCAGGCAGCCACGCGCTTGCGTCGATTGACCAGGGACCCCGGTCAGTCACATGTCCAGCTTATCTCTCCTTCTCGCCATCAACTTCCAATCTTCAAATATCACTCTCTCCTCTCTCCTCTCTTTCAAATTATCACCCACCACCTTCTTTTGTGTCTGGATGCTAAACCTCGAACCATACCATGGCAGCCAGCTGCTCGCCCGTAGCGGACAACTCGTTTGGTCCGACCATCGCCTGTCCAGCCATCTTTGACTTCGCTCTGCTGTTCGAACAAAGTATCCTATCCATCGGCCCATCGGCCATTTTCCTCCTCGTGGTTCCTTGGCGGATCTGGTCGCTCTACACAGCAAACATCAAAACGGTCTCCAACAAGGCCCATTGGCGCAAGCTTGTCCGTCGTACCTCTATCTGATCGTCATTGGCACATATGCTAACTGTTGGACTGGCTAAATGAAGGCTGTTGCGGTCTGCCTCGTCGGTCTACAGATAGCCTCGGTGGTCGAATGGGCGCGCCACAACCTCATCAGGACGGCCCTCCCTGCCATCGTCTTATCGCTGCTCGACTCCATATGCATCAGTGTCCTAACAACCCTCGAACACGACCGTTCACTACGCCCGTCATCGCTTCTGAGCATCTATCTTCTAGTATCAACGCTCTTCGATGCCGTGCAAGTGCGCACCTTATTCATCCGGCACTACCCATCTCCTTTGCCAGCACTAGCTGCCGCATCCGTTGCATTAAAGCTTGTTCTACTGACGTTGGAAGCCCAAAGTAAACGCAAGTATCTGAAGTCACGATTTCGTGTCGCCTCACCCGAGTCGATCAGTGGAATCTTCGCTCGCACTGTCTTCTGGTGGCTGAACGGCCTATTCCTTAGAGGGTTCCGAAAGCTTCTGACGGTCGAGGATCTATTTCCGACGGACGAAGACTTGAACTCAAGCCGCCTGGAACGAGAAATCCGAAGAGCGTGGGGCAAATGTATGTTTCTCTTTCGCTGCTCTGGTCTGTGGCATTCTTACTGACTATTGACAATTGCAGACCGATCTAGCCGTACACGCAGCCTCATCTATGCGACCGTGATCAGTCTGCGCTGGGCAATTCTTCGAACGATATTCCCGAGACTATGTCTGATCGGATTTAGCTACGCGCAGACGTTTTTTATCCAGCGTGCAATCGAGCATCTACACAGACCTGACACTCAGCTGACAAGAAACGAGAACTATGGCTTGATCGGGGCCGCAGCGCTTATCTATGGAGGAATTGCTGTATGTGAATCCTAGTCAATCAACCGAAGCATTTCTAACTGATCTTAGATATCGACGGTGCATTACAAACACCAATTATTCCGGATGATCACTATGTTCCGAGGCGCAGCCGTCGCTTTGGTCTACGACCACACCATGGCCCTTGCGGATGGCCCTCGCGATGATTCGGCTGCTGTAACCCTTATGAGTACTGACGTTGACATGATCGCACGGTCGCTCGAGCAAATCAGCGAGACATGGGCTCGACTGGTGGAGATTGCCATTGGTATCTGGCTCTTAGAGCGACAACTTGGTGCCGTTTGCGTCGCCCCAATTCTTGTGATTCTCTGTAGGTTCCCTTCCGTCTTTGTGATTCCTCGTATCTGAGACATTGCTCTGCCATAGTGTGTACATCCGTCCAGACGTATATGGCAACTTTCATGCCTGCAAGGCAGAAGGTCTGGGTCGGCGCTATCCAGCGCCGTGTGAGCATAATTTCCACGGCGCTGCGGTCGATGAAAAGCGTCAAGATGCTTGGACTGTCTGAGACGCTCGCCACAACTCTTCAGGCACAAAGAGAGCGAGAGCTAGATTTGTCTAAAGATTTCCGATGGTTGATCGTGTGGCTGAACGTGGTTGGTAAGTGTCTCGCCTAGTCCTTGCATTCGTCCGAGTCGACTGACTGTAGGAAGCGAGCCTGCCTCAAATGTGCGCCTCTCTTGTCACATTCGCGGCTTTCGTTATCCGTGCAAATATCGACCATTCGGATACACTGTCGACCGTGCAGGCTTTCACATCTCTCGCGATCATTAGTCTGATCACGAGCCCGGCGCTACAGCTCCTGGCGTCGATTCCGGCCGTGACAGCCGCTTTGGGTGCTTTTGACCGTATCCATAAATACCTTGCTTCTCCTTCCGTGGAATTCTCACCGTCAGCGGATGACCCCGACCATGTGGCAAATAGCTCTAGTAGTCACGAGTCAATGGTGGAATTGAAAGCATCGGCATCCAAAACACAGCCGAACTCCGGTCAAATTGTTCTTCAGATGACGGACGCGTATATTCATCCGATTCCTGGATCTGACTTCTCTCTAGCAGAGATTAACTTCACCATCAAAAGAGGTACTGTGACGATGCTTATTGGTCCTGTTGGGAGTGGAAAGTCTACCCTTCTGAAAGCAGCGCTGAGTGAACTACCCTGTGAGCGAGGAACAATGACAAGATTATGGCGAGATGCTGGCTACTGCAGCCAACATCCCTGGCTTCAGAACACCACCATTCGCAATAATATCTGCGGTTACTCAGAGATGGATGTCAAATGGTACAAAGAGGTCCTGAGGGCATGTGCATTAGAGCAGGACATCTCCCGAATGCCGCAGGGAGATAAGTCTGTGGTCGGCAGTGGGGCCCTCAAGCTGAGCGGAGGACAGAAACAGCGTCTCGTACATCACCAACTTCTATGATTGTTGCTTCGTACTGACATTCTCACAGGCAATCGCCCGAGCCATTTATTCGCGGAAAGGGCTTTTGGTACTTGATGATGCCTTGAGCGCTGTTGACATGAAGACGGCACAGTATGTTCTTGAGGCATGTTTTGGTCGCAATGGAATTTGCCGCCAAATTGGTACGACTGTGATTATGGCAATTCATACAGGTCAGTGCAGGCCAAGATAATCCCGAGAACCATATCTAAGTCTTAATTTAGACCAGTATTCGCATGTCGCGGATCACATCCTCATGTTGAATTCGAACGGACGTATCGAGAAGCAAGGCTCTGTTGGGAGCTTAGGTTTAATCTTGCAACCATTTACACATGCTACGGAGGCCAGTTCAGAAAGCCCGACTGCCGAAGATGAGAGTGGAGACAAGTCTGCCTCTACGAAAAAGGTGGAGACCCTCACTGTTGACGACGTAGCCGATATAGCTCGCCGCACAGGCGATATCGCAGTTTACACGTATTACATGAGGGCCATCGGATGGCCCAGCATCTTGGGAGCTTGTCTGATTATTGTCGTGCATACATTTTCCTCTACCTTCCCTCGTAAGTATATCCGCATTATGCATCCTACTCTGCTAATTGGGCTCCAAGAGGTATGGCTGGAACTATTCACGAACGACGATGGCCGAAAAGCCGCACAGTTCATCGGTATCTATGTTCTGCTTGCCGTAGCTGCCTCAGGGTCACAGGGGCTTATGATATGGTAAGCCTCTAGTATGATCCACCTTGTATGTCTAGCTAAGTATTGATCCAGGCAAATCATGATCAAGATCGTCATCAAGTCGGGATTAGAGCTACACCGGGTTCTTGTCCAAACTGTAGTCGATGCGCCGATGCATTTCTTTGCTGGGGTTGATTCCGGCGTCATCTTGAATAGGTTCAGCCAGGACATGACCCTTGTAGATGCTGTCCTACCCACCATGGCTTTTGGAACGGTCTTGAGTATGTCGAATCATTGCTACTCACTCCATTCTAACGCTAATCTCACTTTCAGGTGTTGCACAATGTTTTGCCCAAGTTGCGCTTATATCACTGGGCTCGAGCTACATGGCTGTGACGATAATCCCGTGTTTGCTGGTACTATACTGCGCGCAGAAAGTCTACCTGCGAACTTCCAGACAGCTCCGATTCCTCGACCTTGAAGCTAGAAGCCCCCTTTATACACTATTCGTGGAGACTCTCGAGGGTCTGTCTACCATCCGAAGCTTTGGATGGCAACGGCCATTTGTGGCAGGGTGCTTACGCCGACTCGACGATTCGCAAAAGCCATACTATCTTCTCTATTGTATTCAGCGGTGGCTTAACATTGTTCTCGACCTCCTCGTTGCCGCTCTAGCTGTGATCCTAATTGCACTGGCCACGTCGTTACGTGACTCCACCGATCCAGGAAAGCTCGGTGTCTCCTTGACCGCAATTATGGCTTTTAGTCAGACCCTGCAAGAGTTGGTGTCCAGTTGGACTTCTCTGGAAACCTCCCTTGGTGCGATTGCAAGGACAAGGTCTTTCGAGATGAAGACACCCTCTGAGCATGATGCTCGGGAAAGGCTGGTTCCGCCACCAAGCTGGCCTGCTGATGGACGGATTGAGATCAACTCACTTTCTGTCTCATATGAGTACGTGTTTCATCTCTCGTCCCTCCACATATAAAACTAACGTTCATTGAAATCCACAGCGGAACCACGCGCGCATTAGACAATGTTTCTCTGAGCGTCAAAGCTGGAGAGAAAGTCATGATCTGTGGACGGACTGGCAGGTGAGTTTCCCGTTGTATATAGGATATTTATATAGCTACATCTCACTAACCTCTGCACAGCGGCAAGAGCACGCTCATCTCTGCCCTCATGCGTCTTCTTGACCCTCTAAGCGGCACGATCTCCATCGACGGGATGGACATCTCCACCATCCCCCGCAACGAGCTTCGCTCCCGCGTCATCGCCATCCCGCAGGACCTTTTTCTTCTCCCTGGCTCCATCCGCTTCAACCTGGACCCTACCGGCCGTGCAGCGGACTCGACTCTGCTTTCAGCTCTAGAACAGTGCAATCTTCTGGCTGTGGTTACAGCGCGCGGAGGCCTGGACGAAGAACTGACATCTGCTTCTTTGTCCCAAGGCGAGCAGAGGCTGTTCGCACTGGCGGTGGCTTTGGTGCGCAAGTGGAATCGCGAGCGTGAGTCTGCGGGAGGAGAAGGTAGCGGCGGAATCTTGATCCTGGATGAGGCGACCAGCGGCACCGACGTTGCGACTCACGCTTTAATGCAGCAGGTGGTCGACGAAGATTTTAGGGGGTATACGGTTCTGCAGATCTCGCATCGGCCTGATGAGGTCCGGGGTGTTGATCGGTTGGTTGAGATGAAGGATGGGCGGGTGGTGAAAGGGTAGGCTTGTTCAGGGCAGTTGGCACCCTGATATATCATCTCGATGCTTATGTCGTCCAGTGCTGATATCACTCTTGCAACCTTCTTCCGATGATCAATAGCTTTCTTAATCTTATTAATAAGATCATACTATTCTTCCCGCGTGATTGCCTGTGCGACATCCTTTTAATGCTATTTCCAATGAACACATCTTTTGCTGGAGTCGTATGGTCCGGTCCCAAGGCCATTCTGACGGATCGATGGGAGTGCAGAAATCCGAGTCTGACTCGAAGTCAAACTGGATCGTCCGCCGTGTCCTTTTGGCAGGTATGCTCCTGCGCTTATTATCATGAGAAGTGGTATCGCAGCCTTCCTCGCTCTACAAGACGTCGCCCTACCCCTCAATAGAATCTGTGGTATTTTTGAGACTTTCTGGAAATGAACTCTGGAAATGAACATGGCTTTACCTGGCCAAGCATGCATGGTTAAACATAGGTGGCTCATAGCTAAGACGCTCTGACCCAGAGTTTGCCCCAGTAAGAATACTTCATTTTGCCCCGGAGACGGACGTCGGACTGACGTGGCTCCACCCCCTGAGTGCTGCCTTGCCATTTTCCAGTCTACATCGCCTCTCACTGGCGCTCCGATGCTAACGGACGCTGACAATGGCCAGGGTTTCCAGGTTACATGCAAGCCACCGACCGGGGGGTGGGGGGCGGGGAGGGGCAAACAATTGGATCGAATCAGCTCAACAATGCGATGAACCATCTCATCAAACAAGGCTTACATGCATATCGAACAGTACTACTGTCCTCCAACCATTTTAACAAGGGTTGAGGAAGGCATCGACGCGTGATATTACGGAGCAGGTCGAGTGTGTGGGCATGGTTCTCTGCCTGCCCGAATGTCCGATATATCAATATACCCGATAGTCCCGTTTCCTCGCATAGCATTCAATTACTATCAGAAATATCCAGGATAATACCCTTCTTTAGGTCGCCAATATGTCCGGATCAAGCGCGTCACTTCGAAGCAGTCAGTCGGATTATTCTCACGACTCTTCTGATTCGCTCCCGCCGAATCCCCCAATGCTCCGCCAGAAGCCTTCGAACTTGCCCCGCCGGACCCCTCGACTATCCCAGCAACCACCGACGAAACCCGGTCTATCACAGACCCGACGACTCTCGAACCGCCTGGATTCCGTCAGACGTCGTGTTTCGAGTGTACAAGAACACCACCAGGCACACTCGGAGAATACCGGTCAAAGCAGCCCACCCCAACATTCACGACCCAACGAGCAGGACAGGCATCACGACGAGGGGTTGCAGGCCGGGACAGAAGGACCCAGTTTCGATGGCCTGATAAGATGCCTCCCGGACAAATGGAATGAGGTTCAGGCCTCGAGGCGCGAGGATGGGCAGAAGATCGCTTCCTTACAACAGGTGCTGCAAGAGGAGCGGGAAAGAAACCGGGAGCTCCAAGCGCGGTTGGCCGAATGCGAGGATTCCACAGCGCGGGAACGGCAAGCACGTCGAGAAGAGACTAAAGCCCTTCAAGATCAGATCGTCCAGCTTGAAAACAAGTTGGGGAACGCGGTGAGGACCTTGACGGAGGCCGAGATCAAAGGGGCGAGGCTCCAAAAGAAAGCAGATCTGCTGCAAGTCCAGGTGACTAAGCAGAACGACCTGCTTTCCACATATGACGCCCTGAGGTCTAAACATAACGTCCTGAGTTCCAAATATGACGAATTGCTTTCTAAACATAACGATCTGCAAAAGGACTTCGCCGAGATTAAGGAATGGGAAACCTCGGCGACGAATGCAGCCAATGAGGAGAGAGAAACAAGCGCAGAACTTCAGACACTGAACAATAGCTTGGAAGAAGGCTTGCGAGTTGCAAGAGCAAGAATCGAAACATTGACCGAAGAGAAGGCGGAACTTGCGCAAAACAAGGAAATGACCACTTTGCTTGCGAACAATTTCCACGTACTGAAAGCACAGATCGCCAGCTTACAGCAGATAACCGAGACCATCGGCAATCCGCGAGTTTCTGTCGTTGAAAACAAGATTGAACGTGAAGTCCAGGCTAATGAAGCGTTTCGCGCGTTTGCGACCTCGCGTCTTCAATCCATGAATGAGAGGACTGAGACATTGGCGGCTTATCCTGAAGAAAAAATCCTGCCGATCTTGAAGGGAATCCAGAACGGCACGAGCTCAAATCGTGAGAGGTTGCAAGAGCTTGCTTCTGCGCTGGACCGAAGAATCCAAGATGACTTGGCCAACAGCCTTTGCCAGCGCTTCGACTCGATCTTCGAATGCCGTTTTGGATCACTGGAATCTAAGATGAATGATAGGAATGACAGCGATCAGGTACTAATTGCAGTGAATAAACTTGTAGACGCGCTCGATAGATTGCGTTCTTTGTCGACGGTGGAGAGGGTCGAGGCTTTGGAGAGACAAGTGTCAAGTCTTGAGGACAAATCGTCTCAGCGAGAGATGGAGGCCACCCATTCCCCATCCGACACTGCAGCCTGCCTGTGGGTCAGTATCCCTGGGAGCGACAAGTCGACCATCCTGAAAATTCTTGCCCAGTGTCAGCAAGCCGCGGCAGGTGACATCGATTCCCCTGTGGTCGCGGAGACAGGAGAGCTCCCCAGCCCCGAGATCCGATCAAGTGCGCCGCAACGCGAAGTGTCCGGCAAAGCAGCCCAGCTATCCTGGCGACGACGTGGCAAAGTGTAAGTTCAATGGGCACCACTTCATGTTTTCGGGAAAGATACTGAGTTAAAATATCCCTAGCTTTGTCAGGGGAAATGGTCAATGGAATGAGTTGAGCCTGGAGTCTCTCGGCAAGGTTACCGAGCTGATTTGCAAAGCTCTAGCTTTGTGATTCTAGAATGGCCTGCGCATACAGAGATAATGGATACTTTACTGACTGTATTAGTTTGAATTGTGCTTTCTACAATCAAGACTCAGATGCTGGTTCGTCTATCGATGTAGCCACTGGCCTGGTGCCTGCTTGCCCGCCTTGTTGATGTTTGGTGCCTACGTTGCAATTGTTGGAATGGATTCAAGGTTCGCTGTCGGGCTTCCCCGGATCCGCCATGGAAGGACCAGCTCTTATGATACAATTGAGGTAGGATTGTCATGACCATTGTTGGTTGCAAGAGCATTTTCAGAAGGTGAAAGGCGGGTTCTAGGAAAGAGGACATGGTAAGATGAAATGAGTGAATCAGTGAATGAGTGATTGCACCAAACGGTGGGGTACAGAGACGGGGGCTTTCCATGGCGTGCTGCCAATTGGGGTCCCAACTATACAAGGGCCAAACTGGAAGTTCCCAAGCCCAACAAGGTTGACTGATTGAGGCCGGGCTGGCGGTGCAGGATTCATACTGTGAATACGATACCTCAGGGTTGTGACTACTCTGGGACTGAGACAACCGACCAAACAATAAGGGATTGGCTGACTGTCTTTCTTAGTCTGGGTAGTGCTTACCGCCATCAATTATCATTAACACCATTTTAAAAGAACACCTTCATTCTACCTTGTTTCATCAACCAAAACAGCATCACACTCATCAACACCGTACCAAGGTCCACCATCAGCAATGGAGACCTGTTTGGAAGAATTCGGCTCGGAGCTCTTAGAGCGACTGGAAGTCCAGGTCCTTGTGGAACTTCAGAAAACCGACGTCTCTCCTACCGCGGCGGTCCAACGACTCCTTCAGGCCCGCGAGATCCCACCACAGAAGGGGGACGAGCCCCCGAGCAGCAAAAACGCAGGCAATCATGCGTGGTTTACGATATTCTCGCTCGTCGAGCTCGCAAGTCTCACCCCGGCTGCGCAGCAGGTCAAGCTCATCGAGTTCGTCGCCCAGCTCCAAAAGATCCCCGTCATCGACCCGGCCACGGAGCAACAGCTGATAGTGGCCGACGATTTGAACGTATGGACCGATCTCCCCTACCGTCGCATCTACCTGGCTGATAGGTCTGGTTTCCGTGCGTTGACCCCCTCTCTATTTCTCCTTTCCGCCGCTGTCGGATTTGTTGCGCACCCCCACTGACTGGAATCAAGCAGGTAATGTCAAGGGGAATTACACAGAGGCAGAGGAGTATCCCCCAGCCGAGGTCCAGGAGTGGGAGAATCGGAACGCGTTCATGGCGCAGTTGACGGCCGCGGCGGTTGAGCTCGGCCATCCCATGGACTTTTCGCTGTATGGCTGTACGCGTGCCGGAGCGCATTTGAGGAAGAAGGGCTGGTCGAAGAGGCAGTGCGCGCGGCCTGTATCTGGTTCATTCATGCCGGGGCGCGGATGTGGGAGAATTGTCAGGCGCGACAGGGGCTCGGGGATCCACGCTATTTCGACCTACCCCGATTGCGGCGCTGGGAAGAAGGATTGCGGACGGCACAGCGGGAGTTCACTCGGGAGAGTACACAGGAGCTGATCCAGAAGGCATTGACGGAACTCTGGGGGGCTCAGAGCAGGATACACTGAGAAGACTTTCCATGAACTAGTGGTACTTGTGTGCTGTTTTGGCTTTATAGTCTGATATAGGAGTTCTAGTAATAGACCAGTCGCAAAAAATTGCCCGGAGGTATGTACGCCGACATAGAGTCTGCATTTGCATCTGGAATTTTATATCTGTCTGGAAGCTGTTCACCTCTCTTGGATCTTCCTGCCATCCACCACAGAATGATGTAATCCAGATAGAATAGCTTAACTTGTGCTATCGCAGGGTAGAATGATCTTATTACAAGGATTTTTACCACGCACGATCGTGCTGATTTCATATTAGCTGGACATTATCAACGTGCCAGTCCGTCTTTATGAGCCGACTCTGAAGCTTAATTGAGAAGCATGATGCTTAGCTCATAGTGCATCTAAGACCGTGACGGCCTTGAATTATCTTTATTACCAAGTTGGATCCATAAGACTGAACTAAGAAATTGAAGCTGAACAATAGCGATGAGGGGGTGCGGGCGGGGAGGTGCTTAATCATCACACCTGATTCACCTTTAGTTCAGATAGGTACGTAGAAATAGGTACGTAGAATAAGATGATGCCTACGTGGTGCACCAACAGCCGGTGATACTATCCCAACCATGAATGATTAGCTGAATGTTGTTAGGGCATGGAGCGAGTGAGCGGCTCACTTGAATCCGCAGGAAATCCCGAACATAATCTTCTGATTAAGTACATATTTGACTGGGCGAGGACACACTAAGTCACAGAGAAATGGCAGAGTAGCCGAATGGAAATTATGTACAAAATGCTGTTGTTAGTGGGTGGGTGGGTTAAGGCGTAGATAGCAGAGACCATCAGCACACGAGTAAGCACTAGACTTAGGCGTTTCAGGGCACCAGGCCTGTCAACTCAAATGATTCTTGCAGCTGGCGGCTAGTGGACACTAGATCGAGCCCCAGTCGATGTTAGTGTAGTGATTAGATACCTACTAATACTACTACTAGGTGGGTAAAGTACTTCTTCTCACTACTGTAAGCCCTAGAGCCCAGCCTAGAGTGGATACCCACCTTCTCCATTGGCTAACTATGCATGACTGGAGCCCTGGCGCGGTCAGAATCAGTGACTTAGCTGTAATCTGGCCGTGTTATTACTGTCTTAAGTTACTCGAGAACTACCTAGGTATACAGTACGGAAACTACTGTATTGACACATCTGAGCTCCTATAAATACCGCGATCGCAACCCAGGTTGCTTTCTTCGGACAAAATGTCAGCTCATAGTTCCCTACTTACGCATTGATACTCAGTCTATTCCACTCAATTCACCAAAGATGGATTATCAAGTAGACACTCCTCCTCTTGAAGCAGACTACGTGATCGTCGGAGGGGGAACCTCCGGTCTTGTTCTTGCTGCTCGACTGTCTGAGGGAGACTCGGCCCGCTCAGTCATCGTCTTGGAGGCAGGGAAGAATTTAGTCAACTATCCCCGAGCTCAGACTCCTGCCCTCTGGACCATACTGATGGGGTCAGAAGCAGAGTGGCAATATCAGTCCACGCCTCAGGTATGCTTCTTTTGCTTCTCTTGCTTCTTTTGCGACACTCGCCAAAGCACGAATGCTGATTTTGATACTCAGGCAGCTCTCGGTGATTGAGTCACCAAAGAGCCGCATGGCAAGCTAAACTATGTAGACTAAGCACATTGATTAAATTAATAGAACTAAACTAGAATTAGAAAACATTACTGTAATACAATTAGAAATATATTATACTTTATTAATATAAAAAGATTATACACAACCTAGCGAAATTAGCTTCCGCTCCGATCACTGTTCTTCTTTTGCTACTAATCCCAAAGCAGGGATACTAGCGGGAGGCCGTTCATCAGGCTAGGAATTTTCATTCACAGAAGAAATTAATATAAAAACTCTTTTTTTTATAATTAAGTATAGGATATACCGCAGTCTACTACAACATTAAGTAGAAAAACAATAATAATAAAATTTTAATTAAATATCAAAATGATTATGTGTATTGAAAGTGATATAAAAAAAGGTAGGTATCTAAATATATTCAGCATATAAGTTATATTAATAGATATATATATAATCTGTAAATTAATATTAGAATGCGGCCTCCACCTCTTCATCCCTTTACTGCTTTCTAATGATATAACTAAGGTTATTAATACTTATAAGTATATATAGATGCTTGGACCCCAGTATCTTTTTTCAGTCTTATAATACTTATTAGTATATAGCCTCAGCCTCTCTATACTTGCCTTATTTAAGATATTTTTAAGGCTGTTTATACTGCTGTTACAGGACGGATGGATTGTGCTAATCGAAATGTGCCTTAAAACAAGAAGAAATAGCTGAAGAGCTATTTCATCTGTTTATACAAAACTTTTTTATATGTATACTAAGCTAGTGCTAGTTTAGTATATAATATATAAGATTTTAGATACTAACTGGTGTCTAAAGCTAAGCTTTATATCAGGGCCTTAGTTTTATAATAAAAGCTCCCCTTTTTTTTTTATTATCTTCTACAGCTTTTTAGGGTCTAAGGTGATAGTTCTATACTTCAGCCCTTTTAAATAATATTATAGCTGATTAGTAGGCAGTATATATATAGATAGGGCCTGTTTTATCTATTATAATTTCTTTTTATATAATCTTTTTTTATTTAATAAATATAATAATTCTCTAGTAAGTAAAATCTCTTTTTATATTATTTATACAACTGGTTTTGGGAATATAGTTAGGCTTAGCTACTAGTTTTGTATAGGATGTATAAAGTACTATATAAAAAGACTATCCCCCCTTCTTAGCTTTTTTTTTTTTTTATATCTTTTTTTTTTTTTATTACCAGTCTGTTTTTTTTTACTTATATAATTTCTGTTATTTTCTCTGCTTGTTTATATTATACCTTCTTTTTCTAAGGCTGGGGCTGATAAGCCTAATTACTTAAATAATATATTAGTTTTTATTTATTATAATTCTTTTTAGATTTCTGCTAATTTTGCTAACTGTAATTTACTTTTTTTATTTATATAATATATAACTATTTATAACCCCTATACTAGTAATATAAGATATTAGATTACTATATAACTACTAATATATAAAAATAAAATCCTACTCTAACTCTGCTATACTTTAGATCAGCAGTATATTTAGTATTTTCCTTACTATAAATTTAAAATAAAAATCAGTACTTTTACTATAACTTAAATAAAAAAATCCGGCAGTACTTTTATATAAAATATTAATAAAATTTAATATATACTAAGTGTTTCTTTTATATTAACAGTCTTTTAATTATATCCTATAGTTTAGTAATACTATATTATTATAAGTATAATAATTAAATAAAGTTTCAGCAGACTGTACAACTATCTGAATAATAAAATAAAGCTTATACTAAATATAAATTTAAAGATTATAGTATATATTATAATTATTATAATTTAAATAAGTCTAAATATAAGCTTACAGCAATTACTGCTCTTCCCTATATATAAGGACTAGAGGGTGAAATAGTGTAGTAAACGAATAGCTTATTACAATAGCCAAAGATGATAGTATTATATCTTAAGGTATTATTACTAATCTGCCTAATTTTGTAGGACTACTACTATTTTAGGTGGTTCTGCAGCTGTCTTGCTTAGCTATTATATAGCTGGTACCTTAGGCCTTTTTTTATATATATTTTTTTATAATTAATATTATAAAGGTTAGAAAGACTTACAGGCCCTTATAACTTTTTTTTTTTATATAAGATGGTTTACTTGCTTATAACAGCGCTATTAAAACCTCTACTCTATAAATACCTTTTATAAAAAACTAGAATAATAAAAAAAATAGTCTTACTGTTTTTTTTTTATAGAGGGTATAATATATAAACCCTTTTTATAACTGTTTTATTTACTAGATTACTAAATATATAGTCTGCTACCTACTAGTTGTTCTTATAAAATATTCTTTTTTCCCAAAAATCTTTTCTTAAAAGAAATTTTTTAATAAATAATATTAATCTCTTCTAATTTACCTATTTAAATATTTTAAAATACTTTATAAAAGAGGCTAGTAGAGCTATTTTTATAAAAGTAGAATCTGCTTTTATATAAACAGGCTTTCCCCCTTTAAATCTCCAGTTTTTTTTTTTTTAACATACTTTTTTTTTCTTTTTTTTTTTTTACTCTTATAGTAAGTTTTGCTGTTATAATCCAGTATTATTTTTATTAGCTAATACTATTTTCTATTATTACTATAACATTATAATAATATTTAGTATACTTTTATAGAACTTAGTTTTTTTTTTTTATTTTATAAAGGGCGGACTAACTTTGTTTACAGCTAATAACTATACTATTTTTATATTTATAGAGCTAATTAGCCTTTATATTTCTACTTTTTATTATATAAGATTTTTACTAGGTACTAAAGTCTTAGCTAACAGCTTTTAGTATATTATAAATTTATTTTTTTTAAAAAAAAAGCTTTTACTACTACTGCTGCTGCTAATATTTTTATTATATTTTTTATACTAATTTTTATTTTTATTTTTATTTTTATTACTACTGCTACTATAACTACTGCTGCTATACTTACTATTATATTTTTTACTACTATTACTACTACTATTCCTTTTTTATATAGTTATATATATTTATAAAAAATAGGTTTAATAGTTTATTATAGTAAATATTATTACAGCTTTTACTGCTTTTATTTTTATAAATCCTAAATCTTTTTTATTTTTTATAGGTATATCTAGGGCTTAGTAGGATTAGCCTGCATCCTATAAACAGACTAATAATAAAAAATAAAATATTTTTCTTTTTATTAAGCTGTTTATAGTAGTCTGATTTTTAGACTGTAGTATAGCAGTACCTGCTAAGATACTAGGTCTTTTTTTCTAAATAAATTTACAGCCCCTATTAGATTATAAGTAGGTCTAGATCTATAAACTTATTATATAATTTATATTATATATTAGATAGTTAGATTTTAAATAGCTGGCTGTCTGGGCCCAGCTTTATAAAAATATTTTTATAACTAAAGCTGGCCGGCAGCTGCTGTCCGACTAGATATATAAATACTATTATAATTCTTTTTCTAAAAAAATATTCTATAACTATATTAGTAAAAAAATTAGTTAGTAGTATAATAACTATTTATATATAAATAATAAGTATTATTTTTTTATAAAGTAATATTTTTTATTTTTATATATTCTAACTATTGTATACTGTAAATATATACTATAATTTATATTAGGCTTATAAAAATTTAGAATTATAGATAGTTTATAAAATATACTTAGTTCTTAGCTTTTTTTTAAATTTTTATTTAAGTTTTTTATATTTTTATAATATAAATTTCTTGTAGAGGTATAGATGGTGTAGGTTTATAATAGACTTCTAAATATTTTTTTTATTATAGTATTTTTTTATTTAATTAGGATTTTTATAGTTTTTTTACAGTATTGCAAATCCAGCAGTACCTCTAAATAATATTTACAGCTATTTAGATTTTTATTTTTTTATAAAAAATATTTTTATAAGTCTACCCCTTCTATTATATAGTATTTATATAAAAAGAAAATATAAAAGATATTATAAATCTATAGATCTATAAATAGCTTTAATTTATAGGCCTGTTTACCTATTTTTTTAATTATATAAAATAGTCCGCAGTAGTATTAATCTAATTTCTTATTTAGTTTTTTTTATAGTAGGTTTTTTATAAAAAGCTAGACTTTTTGGTTTATTGTAAAAACAGTAGCCTTACAACTTTTATTATAAAAGTTTTTTTAATACTTATAAGCCAGCTTAAGATTTACAGATACTTTTTTTTATACTTTTTTAATTTTTTAAAAGTACTGTTTTAATCTTTTTATAGGATTATTTAATATTTATAAGTTTAGTACTATTATTTATAAATATTATATAATTATTATAAAAAACAGCAAGTACTTAGTTAATACTTACAGAGAATTATTATAAATAAATTCTATAAATAATAGTATCTTTATCTAGTTATTTTATTTAAAATTTATATAGTTTTGTAGGTACTGTTTTAATATTGTTACGGGACAGACCCGCAACACTTGCTGTATGTGACTGCAGCCTCTTTATCTTCCCACCGGACCTCCGCAACCTTTCTGTTCTCTAACTATTCCTTCTTGTTTGTACGGCATACTTAGGTTAGAACCAATCTAAGTTCATTCTATAATATTAGGAATAGTTCTTCTGTCTACTAGTAATAGTAATTAAACAATTACTATATACTTTAGGATAAGAGTTTTACTAGTCCTGTCCTGACCTGCCTGTTTTACCTGATTATATAATTTTTTTTTTACAATATCTGAATTAATATTTTTTATTCTGCTAGTACAGCAGCTCCAGCAAGAACTCCAGAACTAGTGTACTAAGATCCAGCAGCTATGTACTAATCTAAATATATCTTGTACCGAGATCTAATAGTTCTGTATGTAATAGATTGTATATTTAGTACCCAGAACCCGCCTGTCTGACCCGCCTTGCTTTAACAGTAAGCTGTATACGCTGTGTATATGGCTTCCTTTTATTAAAGCAAAGCTACGATCCGACCGACTTTCCGGAGCTGATGCTTTTAACTATGTCTGGGATTGATTAGAATAGTTTTAACAGGCTTTAG